ACTGCTATAAGTTAAAAGGGTTGTAATCAGTTTTGCTTTCAACTGTGAATCGAACACTACATAGGGATCATAGATAATTTAATGTTCAATTCATTTACATGTCCGCCGACCTCTTTCCCGGACCAGACTGAAGCAACGAGTTTTAGGAAAGCATTTCCACACTCACCCTGAAACATGATTGAAATGCTCAACATCACTTTGAGCATTTTTACGGTGATGCTTTTTTTGATGAAGAGAACAGGTGCTCTCTTCAATGAAGAGAACACTCTTGTGGATGTCTTTCATCTGCCAAATGAAATGCAAGCGACAAATTATTCCGAATAGCCTGCTCAGCGCCACTTTGAAGCTGCATAGCTAAAAATTCTTTGCGTATTTTCTCTTACTTTTGAGATAATCATGGTATAGTAATACTGATACGAATTTACACATGATGCTGGAAAAGACAATATGTTTGTTCACAAACTCCTAAATTGCCGAAAACCGCCAATTCAAAAATGAATAAATTAGCAGTAGATAACGAATTTGCACATGATGCTGGAAAAGAAAATATGTTTGTACACAAACTCCTAAATTGCCGAAAACCTCTAATTCAGAAATAAATAAATTGGCAGTAGGTCACGGAACATTGCATTATGTCACTCAATTTCAGTCGACGTAATTTGTTTAGTAGTTTTAGTTGTATTGCCTTTATTGGGAAAATTTGAATTGAAGAGTTTTTTTTACCAATTGTGGCACCGTACTAATTTGCCTTTTGGAAGAAATGTGCTGTCAATAGCAGGTGGTTTGTATTTCTACCGAACGGATGTCGTTAAACGTAACTCCCGTACAAGATTCTAAATGATACGATGAGGTAATCTTAAATTGGCAACGCACGACATTTTTGCAGCTTGACCTAGTCATTTACGGCAATGAATATTGAATGATGTCAGGTGTTTCGGACCCTCATAAATGAGATAGACTCTGACATTTCATGATTGCGTCTGGAAATATCTCGTTTCTTCTGCAAGGGAGGATTTAGCTATATTTTCAGTAAACATTTAACGTTTTATAAGAAACACGAACAAATTCAGGAAAATAACGATTTCTTAATATTATTATTATTTTTTGTCAACATTATTACTTTTTCAGATGCCTGTTCTATTCTGATATCGAGGGTTGCTAATAATAGAATTTATGTGTGATGCGTGTTTCGGGGTTATAGGGCTTATGATCCCAGCTGTGCGAATATTTTGTTCATATCACTTTAGAGCGTCACAGTAACTGGTTTTCTTCAATCCTGCGTTTGGGACTTCAATCACTTCATATATATAAAACTTTTATTTCCCACTCGTTTAAAGAGTTTTTTTCAGATAATAGGCCCTACCGCTTCAATGCCGCATGCATAGAGGTTTATCAATGGTTTGTTCACGACTCCACGGCTTTAAGTCTTCAAGTAACGGTTGTCATGAAGGGCTTTCGGTGGTAGAGAGACAATCAAAAGCTCGGAAATAATGTGGTGGAGGCGACATTGAGTTGATTCTGGTTCCGCAGCCGCGGCGGTCTAGGAAGCACCCATAACGCCTGATGAATGAACGCTGTTTCGTGCGCCTGCTAAAATAGAGCTAAACATAACAAAAATTGAAGAATATGATTGCAAAATAATTCGATCACGAGTTTGAATTGGTTTAAGAGAAGGAATNAAAACTCTCACCACCGCCTAAGCACAACGAGTCTTTGCACTCTTCGCAAACTTTGTTTAGTAAAGCGATTGGATGTGGCAAGGGGCACTCTGTGCTGCCAAACTTCTGATTTCGAATCGTTGAGAGGAACCCAAGTCGATGTTACAGGCAAAGTTGGCATGTTTGTATAAAGATTGACTGACCGAGGATAGTTTGACACGATGCAACTCGCAGCTGTGAATGAGCAGACCGTCGGTATTAAACTTTTTTGGATGTGCTGAGTTTAGATTAGCATCCTTCGAACGCAGGAAAAAAAGTGTCATGTATTTTAGATATACACACACTACCTATAAGCTAGAATTTTTTTTTAAATTACGCTATGGATGAGTTTCGAGGGATTTATATCACTTCCATAGAACAAAGTGGAGAGAGATGACAATTCGATAAATTATATATTGCAATTCAACGACATATCATCTCCCGGGAAGGTCTTTCATTTTTTATTTTATTTAGGCAAGGAAATATCTCCCCTATTATTCAATTGTTTTTCGTCATAATAAATTGTTTCGATGAGAATTAAATTATTCCTAGATTCTCTTTTCCTTTTTTTCTTTTTTAAAGCTGTAATAAGAGATAAAACTTATAATTTATTGAACGTTACAAATTTTATGGCATCGTAATAAATGTATATGAGACGTACCTGACTATCCCTATTCTTTCTTATCACAATTTTGTTTTATAAATGATTAGGCGATATGGGAATGACATTTTTGATTGCAAAAATACCGTGATTAAAAATTGTTGCCAGATTTTGTCCGCGGGTTTCCAGCTAGAATCTGTATATATCAAAATTTTGAGCATATAGTTTTTTCTTCAATATGTTAAATTTTCAGTGGTGTAATTTATTTTTTTTTCAGTCGCAGTTTGTTAAGAATGTGATTAGAAATAATCAAATTCGTAAAATAGTTATTATTAGTTAAATTCGAGAGATGAGGGGTAGCGCCATCAAAGGCACCATGCCCAACTCCTCTGTTCGGCTTTGTTAAATCGTTTTGCTAGTGTCAAAGTTCGCTATAGATCATAATCAAAGACTGTGGTAATGTTATGTATTTTCCATAATTATCCTAATTTATCCTTAAATTTTATGTAAATGCATACCAACAAGGAAAAATTATGCATTTACATGCAATGAAATTAAATTACATAATTAAATGCATTAAATAATTATGCATTGAATTAAATTACATAAAAAAGTACATAATTACACATAATTACATAATTACATAGTACATAATTACATAAAAGTACATAATTAAATGCATACAAAGAAACCGTCTTTCACGGTTTTTACGTTATTTGGATGCTTTTTGATGCATATTTAAATTTTCATTTCTTCTTCAATCTTTTCCATTTCAAATTTAGGTTTTCCCAAACCATTCTTACTCTGATTTTTAATTTTTGTTCAGATCTACCTAAAGTTTATCACAGAAGTCACAGAAACGAGGCCAAAGAGCCGTAAAGCGGCGTGTCCGCGGCCCCGTTAGTCCCATTGCAATTACTGGGATTGTGAGCGATTCGAATGCACTGCTTATGGAATACTGAGCAGTGCCGTGCCTAATGTAACCATTCCTGTGGCCTCTGTAATCATTCCTGCGGCCGATGTAACCATTCCTGCGGCCTCTTTAACCATTCCTGTGGCCACCTAGCTTGCTGGGAGCAGAACAGACTTGAGAACGCAGGCACAAAACAGGGCGCTGAGCTTAACGCTCGTCGAATGCAAAAGAGGTTTCGACGTCGTGGTGTCCAAAACACCAGCCCAAATGCAGTGAAATACTTCGTATGTAGATAGTACCGTGAATGAACTGGTTCATTTTAAAAATCACGATTTAGATGTCATGATAAAAGGTAAGGAATCTAATGAACTCAAGTAGAAAATCGAAAACATACTAGCGACGACTGCGTTAAAATTTGTTGTTTACGACAACATTTGCCGCTGAAAGATACTTCGGAATGGAAATAGGAAAGGTGTTCCATCATAGGATCAATTAACTGATTGAGACCCAGTTTTCAAATTTCTTGTATTCGATGTCACTAACTAAATTACACTGCTTCAACGTTATATGATTATGCGGTAAAGTTAAGGAAGAAACAAATTATTTATTTTCGAACATTGTTTTAAGTTTTTTTTTCAGTTTATCGACGAATAAAATTATTGATATAAACATCTGTCCTGAAGAGGCAAATGGCATTGGAAAAGAATATTGCGTCAAGTATGATAAAATATTCATGTGTGGAACTGCCTTTATTGACTTGGTATCGTAAAACGAATTCCAGACATCACTGCAGTACCAAATCAAATTGAAATTCAAGCTCATTTATAATTCAATTTTATGCTATGAAATTCAAACTAGCCCTGTCTAAAAACTCGGACAGGTTTCGCATGACCGCCCATATATGACCTTTACGGGAATTTTCTCGCAAAATCATTCCACTTAATACCAAAACCAAGTCAGGGCTGACCTCCGAATCTTTACACACACAAACAAAAATCCCAATCAATTGACATTCAAAATATATGTGAAAAAAGTGTCAATATCAGCTCATTCTGCCAAGGATTTAAAAATGTACTATTTTATTTCATCCGTGCTTATTTTGGGGATGCTCACATAGACGAATATCAGTTCAGCCATAAAATTAACAATCTGTCCTGACTTCGGAAAAAATATTCAATACTAGCGATGTTTTTTTTTTGCCTCGAAATTTGAATCATTTTGTACTAATTTTTCTTGCAATAAACACTAGCTATGCGAAATAATTAGTAAAACAAAAAAAATATATATAATTTATGAAATCTAAGTAAGATGAAACTCCTGTTATGTATAACCAAAAGAAAATTATCTGTAAACCAGAGAATTTCTGAGAAATGTTTATAGTGAACTCGGTCCCTTGTGCCCAGTGTTGTTCCGAGCGTTGTGACGTGTGGTTGTACGACGCTCTGCAGGTCTTGTCCTTGGCACCGACGAATTGCAGTGCCTCTTGCAAAGTGATAAGGCGTCTTTGTTGAAGCGTGCTGCTAACGCAAGGCATTAACACGTGCTAGAATTGCACCCAATTGAAACGATTGATCATTAACGCTGATGTGATTTTGATCGCTAAAAAAAAACGTTGAAAAAATTACCCTGGTCATATTCGACAGTACATTCAACTGTTCTCATAAACACCGGTCACAAAATGTTATTTGCTGTTCGAATTCATCAATAATTATTTTGTTAGTTGAATCAATATATCAATTGAACAAATGAGTGTTCCTAAGTAAAATATGTCTCGGTAATTTGTTTGGGAAATATTTTTGCAGAAATTTTTCTTGGACTTTCTTCAGAAGATACGTTCAAATTACAGGTGAGATTTGCAAGGAATGATAGCGTTAATACGTAACTTATGTGAAGATCGAAACACTATTCTACAGACGTTTCATGCATCGAAAATATCTTATAAAAATATCAATCACTGTGATGTACAAAAATACGAATAACAGACTGCACTAGTTTTTACCAGCATTTGATATTTGAAACATAACTCTTATAAAAATGCAAGCTTCGAATTATCTCCAATAATCGTGTAACTAATCATAAAATGACTTGATCCTATAACTCTTGTTGATTTGCCCTCTATGCAATCCTAGACTGGACGCTATTTAGTATAGGTGTAAATTCATCAATTGCGTTAAGCAGATGTTGATGCCATACTGTGTCCTAACTATATAAGGATATTCACTATTTTCTGCTCTCAGTTGACTAAGCTATTCTATTAACAGCCAACTGCAATACTAACTAGTTTAATGCGGTTAATTGCTTAGATTGTTTAAAGTGAATTTAAAAACCCAGTAGTTATGCCACACCAAATTTTCGCTCAACGAGGTTTACTAGTACTCTCCGAACTATAAAAAAAACAATCTCGATCTCAATAAACTATTTTCAGCCGTTCGTTTATTGTTTGGCTTGAAAGCAGTTTTCGCTAAGCCAACGATCACTGAATAATATTTCTTAAATTCATGCGACGCGTTGTGGTCAATCGAAGCTAAGCTCAGATGGTAGCGAACGAGAGGCATTTTTGATCAATTATTCGTCCTCATTTTCTCGTGCATTAAACTTTTTGCGTTATACCAAAACCAGAATGGAATTGAAGGAATTGTTATTCATATATCCGAAATATTTCCATCTTAGTTCTGCTCCAAAATATGACATAAATTCTAGAAGGAGAGTCTCATGTCAAGGTTATATGCATATATGAACTGGTATAATATGTGTACCAGTTCATATATGCATTACCCCACCTTAATTCCTCCTTAACCGCAGTGATATATGAAGATTAAAAACGTTTAGACTGCACAACCGTTGAGACTTAGACGGATATTTTAGGATTATGGTGTCGACATCTCTACTCTGATGAAGTTCACAATATCTCGAGGAGTTCTTCTAAGTTTAAGAATAAAGGCTAAAACTAAAAAAGTTGCATAAAACATTTTACTGAATAGACTAAAAAAGTTGCATGAAACATTTTACTGAATTCAGTAAAATTTACTATTCAGTAAAATGTTTTATGCAACTTTTTTAGTTTTAGCCTTTATTCTTATACTCTGATGAAATTTTAGTAGGAAGCAAGTTGTTTCAAAACTCAGAAATTGCCTTTGAATGAGATACTCTCGTTAAGTTAGTCGTAAGGGAAACCATTATTTTGGAGGGATTATCTTAATTAAACATATGAAATGCTATTTTGATACATTTACAGTCAAATTGTGCGATTTTTTATTTATTTATTTTGTTTTTGTTAAATGCTTTCTTGCATCCACATTCCATGTACTTATTTCAAATATTTAACAAGCATTTGTGGGCATCTTCCAGGAATGTCTCCTAATTTGGATCAATTCATCGTCTCTTTGGCCTTGATGAGAACACTTTCTCTCTCTAAGAAAGAATTGTATCTTCTTTTGTGTGGTTTGAAATATACTCTTCAATAATACGCGTTTGTTTGCTCAGATCTTGCTAACAAAGACGATGCCAGTGCATGAAAGCGGCAATCGTCTCCACGTTAATTAGACCATGCAACGGGGAGAGAGGCTTCCGACTAGCACGAACAAGATTACTGTGATTGTTGTGAACAAGAGTATTATGATTGCTGTGAACAAGATTATTGTGATTGTTGTGAACAAGAGTATTGTGATTGCTGTGAACAAGAGTATTGTGATTGCTGTGAACAAGAGTATTGTGATTGCTGTGAACAAGAGTATTGTGATTGCTGTGAACAAGAGTATTGTGATTGTTGTGAACAAGAGTATTGTGATTGTTGTGAACATGAGTATTGTGATTGTTGTGAACATGAGTATTGTGATTGTTGTGAACATGAGTATTGTGATTGTTCTGAACAGAGTATTGTGATTGCAATGAACAAGAGTATTATGACTGCTATAAACAATAGTATTATGATTGCTATAAAAACAGTATTATGATTGGTATAAACATGAGTATTATTGCCATGAACTAATGTACGAGTAATATGATAGGAGACCAAACTTGATGTATTACTACCTGCAGCACGAAAAAAAACGGACCGTGCACGTGTATTTACAGGCTATGAATGAAATTGCGCTGAAAAAATGATTTTTCATTGACAATCGTCAAGCATATTAACAAAAAAATTCCTGTGTAGGCGCAGTTGTAACGACGGTCCGTGATCAAACGTATTTAATATATGGCTTAGCTTTCAAACAGAATATTTTTGAGCACAAAAACATTTGAACGACTCGTAAATGATTCGTATGATATTTTTTGGAGGTGTTTGTGCATACAAATTATATTTTCTAGGTTATAATTTGAATGCGAACCGCGCGCAAGGAAAATTGTAGTGAAACTAGCGGCATTCATACGCTGTGTTTCAGGATCTTGCGTTGATGAATGTCCTCATCTTTTGGTGGACATCTCGGTTCATGAAGGCAAATGTCCCTGCAAATTCTGCATTGAATACTTGAGCTGTGGTGAAATGCGCACCTCGCAATGCCCTCCATTTTTGTAAAACCTGAATTTTGTGAGATATTTACACATACAGTGTGTAGAAATATTTACACATACATTGTAAATAGATGGAGGTTTGTGTTGCCAACAAATATTTTTGTTTGTTTGTAACACTTAGAGGACTCTGCTATTGTTATTTCTATGAACTGCGTAAAGATTTTTGTGTTATAGTAAAGCTTTATCAAGTCTTTTCTTGTGTTGCATTGATTCGTCTGAAAGTCTGAAATCTGAGGATGCGGATGAACGAAGAGCAAATTTTGTACCCGTTTCATTTACATTATAATTTTTATTAATGCAATTCAGTTGTCAAAAAACATTTACAACTACCAAAATTCGCATGAGGTTACTATTTTATTATTTTTTTATGAGAAGGTAGCGTAGTGCATTTAACTAAAGGTTCAATATTGTATAAATTAATACTGCCAATTTCGTTTGAACACATTCTACTTGAAACATTTTGGCATAAAAACCAGTCATTTTTTGGTCATTTCTACATGCAATGACATAGCATTTGATACAAATGTCAGTGAAGTATGAAGGAAGGTTTGTGATCACGCAGTGTAATCAGTGAACTGTGTAAAAAATTTGTGATCACGCAGTGTCATTTTTCAATCAGGGTTATTAATTTGCAATATAACGGCTCCGTTGACCTTTCAGCGACTCCTGTCACGCCTGATTTGCTTCAGATTTTTTCAATGCTTTCTTTTTATTCTCCACCCCAGACGCTAATAATTAATTATTCTTAGATTGTATCAAGGAATTGGACAAGAATATAGACTACATGGGGTTCATTTACGCAGGAGATCTAATGTTATCTCTAATGCTCTCATAATATAGTTCAAGCATGGGAATATTTTCTGCAATAATCATAATCATAAATTTTCTGCAATGTAAATAAGTTTCAATCTGTTTTACTATAGGTACTTCAAAAGATGGAATGGTTTTTTTCAAATCTTCAAAGACAAAGATCTCCGATAGATGCTATTTTCTGCCGATATGAGCATGTTTGCATGACAATCTGAAGATATTCGTGTTCGTGTCAGAAGCTCCTTTGCTACTCTCCTGCCTGGTCTGTAGCTACGATGATCAGCGCTAATGGGGGCCTTTGGCTGCATGTGAAGAGCCTGTACAAAGAACCGATAAATCGTGCCCTAGAAAAATACCTGCTATCATCCGCAAGACTTCAAGAATTTCTGAACGAAACTTGTAACTGATATGTATCAGAGTTTGTGAATTAATGATTAAGCAAATTACAAGCTTGAACTGTGAACCGATAAATTAGGCCATGTATATAAATCTTACTATCAACGTTCAGATATCACTGTGCCTCTGCATGCTAACTTCAAGCCACATCATCATAGGGTTTGATGATCACTGAGATCCAGTACAGTGCATAAGGGACAAAAGAATCCTGCCCTTAATAAATGAAGCCGTTAATCCTTAAGGCGTCTGTTAGAACACTTATTACATGTAATCTCATCCTAATAGGACTATCAGTCGCACGAGACGAGCCTCCGGCACAAAGAACTACTGAGTTCACTTCTTATAAAGACCAGCCAACATACCCGAGTGATGTAGCTTTAGCTTCATGCCAAAGACCATAACAACTGACATTTATCTTCGACTTGTTTCGTTTGTTAACGAAACAAAACTTTTCTTCATGAAGGATTTAGTGAGAGAAATGAGTGAGGCTTTGTAATTAGAAGACTATAATAATGCTTCTGCATATCGTTCTTTTCATGGGAAGTACAAGTGCATGAATAAAAAATAATAATTTAGAAAGTATATTTATAATTACTTAGCCTTTCGTGTATAACAAAAATTGCATGGCGCAGGTGTTGTAAAGTTTATCAATGGTGAATAATACTTCACTGCGTGCATATCATTCTATCCTATTAATATGCATTACATGCAATGCTATTGTATTGCTAAATATTCGATATCAGGTAATGATTTTTAATCCAGCAACTTACTGATGCATGAGATTCCGATAATGTAACATAACCTTTTAAAGCCCCGGCTGAGCAAGTAATCCGATTTTTTGCTTTAATGCATGCAATGTTTGCATGATGACTTACTAAGAATCATGATTTAGCATAACTTTAACATTGAAATTGTTGATGATAAACAGTTTTCACCTAAAATCAGTTTTATCTTGTTGAATTTAAACTTGATTATAGATATGCTTTGACAGAGTAAGTCCAAAATTCATTCCTGCGTTCATATCAAGAACGTATGCTTGACTTAAGTAATACGCCCACAAAAATGTATTATTTGAGTTATTGAATGAAAAAATTGTTCAAAAATTATTAATAAATCCTCATGTATGTT